TCTTATTTCTCTAGGTCTCCCAGACCTCAAGGTGTGGGCTGGTGTTATTTCATCCTCACTCAGTGGGTCTTACAAGCCTACAGAAGAAACACTCACAAGTATTAACTGAATAATAACAGAACTATTTGCATAGGGCTCACCATTTACCTGTTGGAAGCACTTTATACAGACTAACTCATGAAATCCTCCCAACTCCTTACATGCTAGAGCTATGATTGCTCTCATTTTATCAGAGAGGTTGAAAAATTAGCTAAAGGCACACAGCAATCTATGGCAGAGCTGGCATGTGAACTGAGGCAGCCTGGCCACAGAATCTTTAACCATCACAGCAGACTGCCCTTCACAGAAGGAATAAATGTTTTGTAACACTGCTCCTATTCACTATGCTTCAACTTGCTTCAATACACACAAAGCAAGTAGTCACGTACCTCAGTTTGGAGCACATATCTTTATATTCTCTTTGAAATCACATCTCTGCCTTTTCTCTAAGACCCTAAACAAATCACTTACTAAATCCCATACTTCGATTGTGAGGTATGTTTTAAAATGTTTATAAATCTCTGATGTTTCAGAAGAGACTGCAAAATGCTTTAAACTAAGCTCACAAAACACAGTAAAGCTGTGCCCGTAATTTATCTAATATGTAAAGAGTCTGTTGACCTGACTATCTATCCTTGAGAAAGTGTATGCACCGAAAACATGAAGAAAGCTTGGAAGACTTCAGCTGTAACTGCTATCGGCACAGATAACATAATGCCCATCTTAATTTCTCCCACTTGGAGATACTTTATTATCTCAAGGGCATAAGACGAGTTCAAGCAAAACGTCAGGAAATGCACTGGCCGGGAACTGCCTTTTTGTGCCCCCGTCCACCCTCTTGACAACTTTACTGAACTTGAAGAAAGGCACCTGAGTGCGCTGAGGAGGAGGCTTGGTGTGGGAACACATTACGAATCTATGAAACCGGCGGCCTTTCATTTACAATCTGATTTTCTGGAACTTCGGGGTACAGTTTCACAGTGGTCAATTGAGCTTCTCCGGATAGTTAAAGTCTTTCAGAGCCCTGAGATGCTCGCTAAGGTCCAAGTGTCTGCTCCGGGAGAGGGCGATCCGCCATGGGAAAGGAGCGGTCCTCCGGCTCCACAGGTCAAGGCCACCCTCCCAGGAGACAGCAGTTTCCGACTTCAGGGCCGGCACACATGAAGATAAGATTTGTTTTCCTCCTGTTTGAACTTCTCTCAAAAAGTCAAAGAATTCCCTAGAGTCCCCAAGTTCTGCCCTAGTCGCTTGGCAAGGCCCCTCTCTCAGTGACCACAGCCTCGGGGCCAGAATGTGGCGTCTTCCTGAGGGGCCCTCCCCTGCCCGAGGGTTTTCATTCCTGGCAACTTGCCCTGGTCCTGTGCTCTCTGCCCATTCTCCCTTAGGAGGAAGTGGTCAGAGGACACAGACAGACCTTCATCCCAATCATGGCTTGAGGGGCCCAGCTGCCCACTGCCATAGCACTGACGATGCAGCCCAGAGGTGGGAGCTCCCTGGCACAACAGGGACAGGAAAAAGAAAGGCCTGGGCTACAGAGGCAGAGCGCAATTCAGGTCAAGGCCAGTTAAAATGGCAAGGACTGACCAGTTCACAAGAGAGGCCCCGTGGCAGAGATCAGCCTGCACTAAGTCAAATCAGCATGAGGCTCTTAACAGAAAGATGAGTGCAGGTCAGGAGGGCACCCAGGTTTCAGTGGGCAGGGTCCTGGGGCACAGTGAGTAGAGGCAGGTTCTCCTGAGGCAGATCTGTGGGCTGGCCCAACAGGAGACAGGTCGTGGGACGAGCTTAGCTCAGGCACCCAACCAGTCTCACTGACAACCAGCGGGTCAAGGCGGCAGCACTTAAGCAGGACTGTGTGCTCATCTCTGACCTCTGGCAGGCTTGCAGGACTGAGGGGAGACCAAACTCTAATGCCCAACGGGCTGGGGTGACATCCTCACTGTATTTACAGCATCAGCACCAGCGAGGAATAGATGCAACTGAGGGGGAAAACGAGGGAAGGGAAGGAAGCAGGGCCTAGACTTCCGCACTGCTTGCTAAGGATTTAAGGCTAGATGCTAGATGCAAATTCTGAGAAACACTGGCAAGCTGACCTCTCCACAGCCTATGATGACCTCTGAGCCATAACCTCTTTCAGTATTTGAAATGCCAATACTTAGAGCCTTTTCAGGGCATATGCTTCAAAAAAAAAAAAAATTTTTCCTGAGGCATAATTTACTCCCCATAAAATTCACTGATCATAAGCATACAATTTAATAGCTTTAGTAGATTTATAAAGTTGTACAACCATTGCCACAATACAGGTTTAGAACATCTCTGTCACCCTACAAAAGTTTCCTCTTGCCAAATAAATAATAGTGAATATGGTTGAGCCTATGTCTACTGTTTTAAGAAATCACCAAATTGTCTTTCCAAAGTGGCTACACCATTTTACATGCTCACCAGCAAGATACAGTTTCACCACATCCCAGCCAACACTTGACACTGTCATTTTTATCACAGCCATTGTAGTGGGTGTTTAGTGGCAGGACATTATGGTTTTAATGACACTTCTTTAATACTAATGATATGGAACACATTTTCATGAACTTGTTAGTCATTTATATATCTTCTTTAGGGAAGATATATATCTATCTATTCAAATCTTTTTGCTGATTTTTAAAATTGAGGTACAGTTGCTGTACAATACCAACTTTCAGGCATATGACATAGTGATACACATTTTTTAAGGTTATATTCCATTTATACTTATTATAAAATATTGGAAAAAAATATTGGTTATACCCCTGTGTTGTACCATATATCCTTGTAGTATAGTTATTTTATACATAACAGTTTGTACCTTTTAATCCTTTACCCCTATCCTGTCCCTCCTCTTTTCCCTCTCCACACTGATTACCACCAGTTTGTTCTCTATATCTGTGAATCTACTCCTTTTTATTAATATTATATTTACTAGTTTCTTAGTATTTTGCTAAAAATTTAATTTCTTGACTTACTACAGCTTATTCAGATTATAGCTTTATTTTTAAATCAGTTTTGGAAAATTTTTGTTTTCCTAGGAAATTTTCCATTTCATCTACGTTGTCTAATTTGTTAGAATACCTTGGGATTATGAGGATTATAACCTTCTAATTTTTATACGGTTTGTAGGAATTCCTTTTTTCCTTTCTAATTTTGGTAATTGGTTTTTTTCTTTCTCTCTTTTTTATTTTCATGGACAATCTAACTTAAGGTTTGTCAGGTCAACTGGTCTTTACAAAGAACCAACTTTTGATTTCACTGATATTTCTCTTTGTGTGTGTGTGTGTATGTGCGTGTGTGTGCGCGCGCGCGCGCACGCACATATGTTTTCCACACTATTGATTTCTGTACTAATCTCTACTGTGGTCTTTCTTCTTACTTCTGATTTCACTCACACTTCTTTTTCTAGTTTCTTATGGTGAAAGCTTAACGTATTGATTTTAGACCTTTCTTCTTTTCTGATCTAGGCATTTAAAGGCCATAAATTTTTATGTAAGCATTATTTTAGCTGCATACTATAAGTTTTGATATGCTGTGTTTTCACTTTTATTTAATTCAAAATATTTTCTAATTTCTCTTTTGAATTCTTTGACCCATACAGTGTTTAAAAGTATGTTGTTTAAACTTTCAAAACATTGAGGAATTTCCCAGATTTCTTTCAGTCACTGATTTCTATTTAATTCTGTTGTGGTCAGAGGACAGACTTGGTATGATTTCTTACATAAATAAAATACCTAATTTTATAAAGATATGTTTTATGACCTAGTATATGGTCTATCCTGGAGAATGTTCCTAATACACTTGAGAAGAATATATTGTGCAGTCACTGAGCAAATTATTCTTACTTGTCAGGTAAAATTGTTTCATCTTGTGTGTCCTGGTTGATTTTCTGTCTAGATACTCATCAATTTCTGAGAGTGGAGCATTGAAACTTTCAGCTGTTGTTCTAGAATAATTGAAAATCTTTCAATTTTCTGTTTTTTGCTTCACGTATGTTGAGGCTCTGTAGTTAAGCCCATGTAACGTGTCATATCATCCTGATGAGTTGATCTTTTATAATTAAAAAAACTTCCTTCTTCATCTTTAGCAATATTTCTTGTCTTACATGATATCTTGTTTGATATTAACTACCGCCTCTCTTGTTACTGTTTGTATAGAAAAATGTGCTGCTTCTTTCGGCCCTCCGTGGATTTAGATAAAAAAATGCACTGTCATTCAAATATGTGTTTCCCCATAGGTAATAAATTGTTTCTCTTTGGTTGTTTTTAAGATTTTTTTTCTTTGCCTTTGTCTTTCATAATTTTCTTCTTACTACCTTTCAGAGTCCTCCTTTGTTGATCTCTTATATTATTTCCAGAATTGATGGTTATGCTTATTGGCAGGGAAGAAGAGCAGGGAGAAATTGATCTTACCCATCCTGTCTGGAAAAAAAGTCTCAAATTTCTAAATACTCTTGGGTTTGCAATATCTACTATAACTATTGTTACCTGCAAGGTGTGTCCCATCAGCTAAAAGGCTAGCCTCTTAGCACGCCTGTCACTAATGGACACATTCTGTAGAGTAAGGCATAGAACAAGTAGGCATTGGTGGAAGTGGATCAGGAGTGTTTGTGGTCAGAAGGCATCAAGGTGGTTCAGTCCATCTGCCAGTCCCTTCCTACACAGGGAACAGTCCGCCAGGAGCAGCTGCCAAGCCTCCTCCAGCATGCACATTGGGCCAGCATGAGTCACATGTTCACTGGCCCCTCTGGGAGTGAGAAGCAGAATATGAAATCTGGGAACATGCAAGTGCATGCAGAATACATGTTTTTAGGTCAATCTGCAAACTAATAAGCAGACCTTAAGATAAAGATATGAGTTCAACCAATTTCTTGGTAATATCAAAAGAAAGTAAAATAGCAAAGATTTCACACGGAAAAAGGAAGAAAATATTCCTACCTGTTCTGAGGGCATTTCACCAAATAGTGTCTCACTGTGAAAGGAAAAAGAAATAGAAGACGGTAAATAAATACTACCTTAGATATACATGCCCCAGGAATTACTAGGAAATGTAGGTGGCGAGGTGTTGTCCAGTGTTTGCACTAACCACCTCTCCAGGTTATCTTTGGATGAGGACAGTAGACTCATAGCAAGGACCCCACAGTGACTTGATATCGTTCAACACCTGGATCAAGCCAGGCATGAAGCCATAAACCTCAGACTTCCTGGTTACATAGCCCCCAATATTCTTTTGTTTTTTTTTGGCAAGCCAGGTTGAGTTGGATTCTAACCTGAAGAGTCCTGGAATGACAGAGTCACCCAATCTCAGAGCTCTGCCTTAGTTGGGAGAAAGCGTTCTCAGGGCAACTTGTTTCCACTTAGATGTTCCTCTCTATAAAGTGTGTTTTCATTCTATGATCAAAGCTCTTTCAGTACTGAAAGGAGGCCCTGGGAAAGTGGGAAAGACAGTCTTTTTTTTTTTTGCAATGACATTCTTCATAGTAGGTAGCCTTCAGAAAAAGAAAAAAAAAAAAATTCTAGCTGCAGAGGGAAAATAAGAATGCCTAGGCAGTTATCCTAATAAGTGTCCAATCTAAGCTCACTGTTGAACTTACCTCAAATAGAAGTAAAGCTGAAACAACCACAGGGCCCTGGAGTTGTGTAGAAGAGTGTTACATCAATGGCCCCAACGAATCACACATTAATATATTCTATCTCTCCACATCCTTACGTGACTCCCTCCTACACTGACACCAAGCTTGGCCATGTGATGAGCTTTGGCCAATGAAACATTAGCCAAAGAATCGCAAGCGGAAGCATAAAAGGCCCTGTGTTTTGAGGCTCGTGCCCTCTCTCTCTCTCTCTCATTGCAGGGAACTCTTCTGTCACCACACAAACAAGCCTGGCTAGCCTACTGGAAGATGAGACCACACGGAACAGATATAAGACATCCCAGTTGAGGCCCCAAAGCAGCCAGGCCCCAACTGCCCCACCAGCAGGCTGAAGCTGCATAAGTGATCTAGTTGAGGCCAGAAGAACTGCTCAACTGAGTCCAGTTCACCTTTCTGATCTGCAAATAAAACAGTTGTTTCAAGTTCCTACACTTGACGTGATCTGTGATGGAGGTGACCAATGCAGGCTCCAGACCAGGATGACAGATTCTCAGCTTTCGGGAGTTTTTTTGGTTTATCTGATCCAACGCCTTGTTAGTAACTGAACTCTTTCTGGATTGTGTTTACTAAATACCTACTATTTGCTGGATAATTTATAGTTGCAATAATAATAAAATCATAGTTCATATTTATTGAACTCACCATGTCTTCCCGGCACTATCCTAAGCTTACTATACGGGTCAGTGGTCTTTAGTCTGGGGCTTGCATACCCGTGGAAAGAATAGTTTTAAGGACATCATTTTCTGGATCCTCACCTCCCATGTTATTCTTTCCTTAGAATTAATTTCCTTGGAACTTGCCCTAGGTCTAGCTGTATTCCTTTCCCTCCCTCCCTGTTAAATGAGCCTTTCTACTTCATAAAATCAAGGCATTCCTTTCACCCATCCTGACTTGTACTACAGAGACCTGTCCTGGGGCTAAAAGCCAGTGGGCACATCAGTGGCCTCAATGAATCAGTAAATGATTTGGACTATTGGTGTCAGTGTTGAGAAAGTGAATGACTAATGACTGGGCACATAAACTTTTCACTAGAGGAGAGGTTTCCAATATTTTGCTTTCAACAAGGATTGAAATATGAGCTAATCCAGTCGTCAGCTGGTAGAGAATTAAAATCATTTTCCATGATAGATCATTATGACTTTTGACATATAACTTGAAAGCAGTTTAAAGTATTGAGTAGTGTAAGGAAACTTCATCCATTCCTGCCTCTTTTCATACTGAGATTTTGCAGAGCTAACATCTATTAAAAATACAGGAATAGAAACGATGCTGAATTCTATTACTAAGTAAATACATACAAGGTTATATGAAGTAAAAATAAAAATTCATTTCCAATAACATTTTACTTCTTGTGATTATTAATTATTTATCTAAACTTATATTTATCTGGTTTTGATTAGTTTTATATTTATTTTCTAAATCTTTACTAATCATGCAGTATTTACTGAGAACTCAATCCAGAAAAAAGTTTAACACCTACAGACTTGTGGAATAAGGATATTTTTAAAACCTTCATGCAAAATTCTATACACATACTATTTTACAGAAAAATATAACTAGACCTCGCTTGGAATCTCCCTTAAACATGCATAGCATAATCATTACTGATGACATAACTGCATCACCTGTCTTAGCTAGGGGTCCCCAGAAGCAGAGTCTGTCTATAAGACCAGGATTCAAGTGCAGAGTCTATGTGGGAAGGAATCCTGGGAAACCCACTGGCAAGTGAGGAAGTGAGACCAGGAAGAGAGGAAAAACAATAAAGGGTGGTTCTGGAGCCAGTCTCCACCATGGGTCATAGCTTAATACCCAGGGCTCTTGACTCAAAGGCTCTCTGGTGCCAGACAAGGCAACCCCTGTGCATAGAAGCAGAAATTCAGGATGTGGTGCTTTTAAATGGGAACTTGTGATCTTCCGGACTCTGAGGACTCTAAAAGGAAGGGCTGTTTCTCTTACCTCTTCTAACAGGAAGATACCTGGGAGCCCGAGGTTCTGGCCACCTTTCTCTGCCTCCTCAGCTCAGGCCACACAATACCTACTGCATGGCTAAGGCTCCCAAATGACACATCCAGGCTGAAGGCCATCATCCCCCCGGGCCTGTCCCTGTCACGGGTAATTAGGGATGGAGGTAGCCATGCCCCCATCCTGCCAGTCCCTGTAGCAGTGTTAGGGCCTCTGAGGTCTGTCCCTGAAGGTTTGGCCAATCTGCTCTAAGGCTACCATGTCCAGGTGAGGGCTAACCCCAGCCTGGACATGGTCTTACCTGGGTTACAGGATGCCAGCCTGCAGGTGGCAGTTGTACCAGACAGATGCCAAGCTCCAAGTTGCTGCAGGAGCTATGAGTTGCTGTCTAGGAAGGACCTCAGCAACAACCGCATGGAAGGCTGAAGGAAAATTCCTTGGCAAGGTCAGTCCCCAGATGGCTGAGGTTTTCTTGAACAGAAACACAAAGGCCGAGGATGGGACTGGGCTTGGGCTCTACCACTCCCTTGTTTGGGGACTTGGACAAGCTCCCCAGCTGTGTCCTTGGTCAAAAGGGAGCAACAAAGGCTGTTGTTTGGGCTGGCAGTAAGGATTCGTGAGAATGTGGAGGGATCAACAAGGGGTCTAGCCTGCAGTGGGTAGTCAGGCCAAGCCCTTGACAGCTCACAGGGTTTCAGACACTGTGTGCAGGTACACACGAGGCCATCTAGGCCCACTCCCAGGGGGTTGAGGGCAGCTAAGACCTGGGTCCCCAGTGGCTCTTTGAGAGGCCTGGAGTATGTGTCCTGGTCTGGCTTGTTGACTCTGGAAAAGAAGGACTTCTATTGAACTACCTATGGCTCCTGCCTACAGCCTACCAGGATTTGCAGCTCCAGGCAGATTTCTCCATTACGCCCCTGAGCCCAGGAACAGATGCCTTTACAGCAAAACAGGCTTGGGGACTGCCCATGTGGCATCCGAACTCCAGCAGCTGGGAGCAAAGCAGCTGGGAGACAAAGCCACTTGCCCACCATTTGGTGAACAGCTGTCATCTGCCTAATTCCAAGGAGAATGGGTCAGAGGCATGGTCCCTGCCTTGCACGCTATCCGCCTGGAGGGAGGCAAATACATTTGCACATGTGCAACATGCGCCATGAGCTCATCAAAGTCATCAAGGGTTTGCAACAGGAGAAAAGCTTAGACACCGTGGAGAAGGTGGGCACAGCCATGGAGGGGGGCACCTGGGGCGCAGAACCTTCACACCAAGCACGGTGGGCAGCGCACGGGCTGCGGAAGACGTCTGGCTCTATCTCCGGTGCTTCGGGGCTCTGTGCTCCTGTCCGGGTCATCATCACTCTTCTCCACTTTACTCAGGCCCCGGAGGCTGACCTCTATGCACTTCCCTCTGGCTTCAGGTCTGGGTGGCAGGACCAAAGGAAAGCATCCCTGGGACGTGTAAAGGAGGAGGGCAGGGAGGGGCTGAGGAGTACAGGCTCCTGGCTCACTCCCTGCTCCCGCCTGGTTTGGCCTGGCTGAATCCTTCTTCTAAGGCTCCTAGTAGTGACAACTCTCTGAAAGCTGCAGCTCTCACAAATTCCAGAACCTCTCCTTCTCTTGTCCCCTAAGGTCCAGGGTAGAAACAACATCCCATGGGTGTTGGTCCCCGAGGGCCTCCCTCTCCGTTTCTCCCTGGTTCGCTTAGCCCTGCCTGCACCTCTGCAGAGAATCCCCTCTAGAAATGCTGCTTGGTGTCCCTTTATTTTCCCCTTAAGCCATGAGCACCAAATGTAATACTTGCCAGTTTTATGAACTTAGGCTAACAGTAATCATTATTATATATATTAATAACTATACCCACATGTCATCATAAATACAGGATACTTACAGGGAACCAGAATGTGTTAAGGGTTTCATTTGTGGTTTTTTTAACTTAATCCTCACAACAATGCTATGAGACTGATATACTACTGTACTCCTCACTATTTAGATGGAGGTGAGGCATGGGAGGGAAGACATCAGATAGGAAGTGAAGAGTCGTCACTGAACTGGAGTTATTTTAATTCCAAAGCCCCGCTGTTACCCAGGTCATCTCTGGGAGCTGCAGTGTCCCCATCTATTTCAGAAATTCCTAAGTGGGAGGGCACAGGAAGGGTATTTCAGAGGAAACACACAGGAGCTGGTAGAAACGTGTCATGGAGGCTTGGTGAGAGGAGGGGGCTAGAGAGAGAAAGCAGGCAGTATTCTTAGGGAGATTAGAGTCAGAGCCACAATTACTGCAATCACTAAAGGAGAAAGATTAAAGCAGGAAGGGGCTGAAGACAGAATCCAGGGGACATGGACAGCAACAAGGAAGGAGGCAGAAGGAAGTGAACGCTCAGACTGGACAGGAGGGAAGGGAAGCCTTTCTAATCCCTGCCAGACACAGTGCCGATGCTGTAATTAAATTAAGAACACACAGCAATATTCAGTCTAAAGAAGACGGTGTCCATCCCATGTCATTTAATAAATAAGAAAGCCAAAGTTCAGAGTGCATTAGGAATGTGTCTAAAAACCCAGTCTTAAGTAGCAGAACCAGAATCAAACCCAGGGTCATCTGCCCCCACAGCCTCTTCTGGGAGGAAGAGAGAGGTGAGGGCGCTCAGAAACCACAGAAGGAAGGGCTTTAAGAAAAGGGGGAAGTGCAATGATGTCAACAGTGGTTACAGTTGATTTTAGCAGAGTCTAAGGGAGACATACCTCCCCCACTTGCTTTGCTTGCCAGTCACAGGTAAATAACCCCTGACTCAGGATGCGTTTTTCAACCAAAGTGATACTTTGCCCAGCCATCTTCTGTCTGTCTGTGGTTTGCTTGTGCTCTCACTCCAGACATGACTTTATCCATTCTCTTACCTCTGGATTTCCTCTTGCTAAAGACAGACTGCCAGATGATGGTTAGGGTGAAGAGCAGAACACTGAGAATCCCCACACAGCACACGAGCACAGCATACACGTAGAGATCTGAAAGGCAGGAACACGAGGGTCACTGCCAGGACAGGCCACACCAGAGCAGATGCTCCAGATAAAAAAAGCTGCACACATTATCAAAATTCAACTCAAAATGAACTATATGCCTAAATGTAAAGTAGACACAAGAAGACTTCTGGAGAGAGGGAAGAAAAATCTTTGAGATCAAGAACTAAGCAGAGAATTTTTAGACTTAACACCAAAGCATTACACAAATAAGGAACACTTATTAAATTGGATTTCATCAAAATTTAAAACTTGTGTTCTATAAGTATCCATATGAAGAATGAGATAACCCATACACCTATCAGAATAACCAAAATAAAGCTAGGATGATAATAGACGCGGACGAGGATAGGAACAAACTGGGTCACTCAGACCTTGCTGGTGAGAATGTAAAATGGTACAGCCACTTCTGAAAACAGTTTGGTGGTTTCTAAAAGGACACACCAACAACTGCCATGCAACTCAGCGATCGCTTTCTGGGGGTACTTGTTCAGAGTAATGAAAACTTAAGTTCACACAAAAACCTGGCTGTGTATGTTTGTAGCAGTTTTATTCATAATAGCCCCAAATTGGAAACAACCCAGATGTTCTTCTATGGGTGAAAGGTTAAACAGTGCTCCATCTATACCATGAAACACTTCTCAGTGATAAAAGGGAACAACTCTTAGCACAGAGCTATACTAAGTGAGAAAAAAATCCCCCCAAATTACATACTGTATGATTTTATTTACACAAAGCTTTTTGGAGTGACAAAAATGGTAGCAATGGAGAACAGATTAGTGGTTGCCAGGGGTTAAGGAGGGAATGGGTGGGGAAAAAATGGGTCTTGCTATCAGGGAGACTCGTAGTGAATATTCTGTATCTCAGCTGTATCAGTGTCAATATCCTGGTTACAATGTTATACTGCAGTTTTTCCAGATGATGCCTTGAGAGAAACTGGATAAAAGGGTGAAACTGGTACAAGGAATCTCTCTGTATTACTTATTAGAAATATACGTCAATCTACAAATATCTCAAAATAAGTTTGCTTTACAGTCCAAAGATTAAATCATGTTCATATCTATCTTAAACCAGGCTGCTATGACAAAATACCAAAGACCAGGTGAATTAGATGACAAAAATTTATTTCTAACTGTTCCAGCGACTAGAAAACCCAAGATCAAGGCACTGGCAAGTCCAGTGTCTGATAAGGACTCTCTTCCTGGTTAGAGATGTCTTCTCCTGGTATCCTCACGTGGAGGAGAACAGAGAGCAAGTAAGCTCTCACAGGTCCCTTCGAATAAAGACACTAATCCCATTCATGAGGGCTCAATGCTCATGACCTCATCACCCCTGGCGCCCCCTCCCCCCGAAATCCTTACCTCCTGATACCATCACATTAAGGGTTAGGATTTCAATATACAGATTTTAGGGACACAAACATTCAGCCCATAACAGTATATACAATCATTTCTTAAACTCCAGTGATCAATTTATTCATCAATCTGATTGATAAAATGCCCAAACTGCCCAGAAATTGAAAGGGAAACCGGAAGCATTATCTAAAGCTTGTACGAAGCAGAAATAAAGTGAAAATGAAAGTGTTAGTTGCTCAGTCATGTCCGACTCATGTCCGGTCTTTTCTACAGACCCCTCTGTCCATGGGATTTCCCAGGCAGGAATACTGGAGTGAGTTGCTGAAAGAAATTAAAGAAGACCTAAATAAATGGCAAGATATAACATGTTTACGAATTATATGTCTCCACATTTTGTGATGTCAATTTTTCCAAACCAATCAGTAAGTTTGGTGTTGGTGGTGGTTTAGTTGCTAAGTCATGTCCAACTTTTGCAACCCCATGGACTATAGCCCACCAGGCTCCCCTGTTCATGGGATTTCCCAGGCAAGAATACTGGAACAGGTTGCAATTTCCTTCTCCAGGAGATCTTCCCAACTCAGGGATCGAACCCCAGTCTTCCACACTGCAGGCAGCTTCTTTACCATGTGAGCTACCAAGAAAGCTCACAAAGCAAAAAGCTGCAGATATTCAAACTTAGTAAATGTTTGAACTTATTAAAAATGCTTCTCTGCTAACTTGAATGTTTTTAGCCAACAGACATATTCAGCCTGGAATCAAGATCAGAATCAAGCTGGAATCAAGATTGCAGGGAGAAATATCAATAACCTCAGATACATAAATGACACCACCCTTATGGCAGAAAGTGAAGAGGAAATAAAGAGCCTCTTGATGAAAGTAAAAGAGGAGAATGAAAAAACTGGCTTAAAACTCAACATTCAAAAACCTAAGATCATGGCATCTGGTCCCATCACTCCATGGCAAATAGATGGGAAACAATGGAAACAGTGACAGACTTTACTTTCTTGGGTTCCAAAATCACTGCAGATGGGCAGATGGTGACTGTAGCCATGAAATTAAAAGATGCTTGCTCCATGGAAGAAAAGCCATGACAAACCTAGACAGCATATTAAAAAGCAATGACATTACTTTACCAACAAAGGTCCATATAGTCAAAACTATGGCTTTTCCAGTAGTCACGTATGGATGTGAGAGTTGGACCATAAGGAAAGCTGAGTGCTGAAGAATTGATGCTTTTGAACTGTGGTATTGGAGAAGACTCTTGAGAGTCCCTTGGACAGCAAGGAGATCAAACCAGTTAATTCTAAAGGAAATCAGTCCTGAATGTTCATTGGAAGGACTGATGCCGAAGCTCCAATAATTTGGCCACCTGATGCAAAGAACTGACTCATTGGGAAAGACCTGATGCTGGGAAAGATTGAAGGCAGGAGGAGAAGGGGACAACAGAAGATGAGATGGTTAGATGGCATCACTGACTCGATGGGCATGGGTCTGAGAAAGTTCCAGGAATTGGTGATGGACAGGGAGACCTGGTGTGCTGCAGTCCATGGGGTTGCAAAGAGTCAATACGACTGAGTGACTGAACTGAACTGATATTCAGCCTGCTCCTAAGTACAAGAGATATAATCATGAATATCCAAATGTCTTCTCGTCGAGAAATCAGAGGGCTACATGGTACCCGAACCACAGAAATATATGCCCGGTACCAGAAACACACAGAGGAGGGACCCATCCAGCTTGGGGAGGTTTGGAGGGGCTTCCCAGAAGACTGGACCACTGTGGTAAGCTGTAGTTAAAATAACACAGAAAATGCAAAAATGCAGAGAGAGAGAATAAAAGCAGAAAAAGAAAGAGAGAAACAAGTCATCAGCCATCCATCACTCTGAGGTGCTACATTTTATGATGTATATGCATATAGTTTTAAGATCATAACTGTTTTATACCTTGCTTTTTATTTTATCTCATTTTCTCATTAGGGTCTCTTCAAAAAGTTATTTTAATTTTGAAACATATGATAAAAGTTTCTGCCATTTATACATCATCATGAGTGACTTAGTATCTTATCATGGGCTACTCAAAGTGTTCCTAACTTCCTTATAAGAAATGATTCTAAGATGAGTATTCATAACCTTAAAACTTAATGACTCTCACATTGTGTTCTCAAGATTTAAGTTCCTGGACGTGGAATTGCTGAGTTGGCAAGAATGCACATTTATAAAGCTATTAGGACATGGAGAAGCAGCTGGTTAAGTGCTGAAGCTGAAAAAGCAAGCAGTAAGCCTCCTGGAGTGGCTGGCTTGCAGGGAAGTCTGGAGAAGCAGATAAGGTTATGGTCAGGAGAAAGAAGGGGAAATGGGACAGAATCACACATCTCAGGGTCCCCAGGAGGCCCTAGGTAGTCCCATCCTTGGAGAGCCTCCCTTGGTCTCAGGCTCAGCCAGGATATTCACCTAAGCTAGCTTGAGTTAGCGTCTTAGAAGGCAACTTTGAAGCCTAGACTAAAACATAAGCTAAGTGTCAATAGAAAGGGGCTTTCCTGGTGGCTCAGAGGGTAAAGAATCTGCTGGCAATACAGGAGACCTGGGTTCAGTCAACAGAAAGAACAGCAGGACAAGGTTGCTGGGGAAGGGAGCACTTACACTAATATTTAGGAAGAAGGGCAGGTGAGTGCGAGAGAGAGAGAGTGTCTTCTACATGTGGCGGGGGCGCGGGGCGGGGGTGTCGGGGGGGCCCGCGCGAGCTGTGTAGGCGCCGAGAGAAGAATGTCGTAAGAAAGCTTCCCCAAAAGCATCCAGTGCTCTTGGAAACCACCCTTGGGTTTTCCCACTAGGAAGTTACTGGAGAAGTCCTGTAGGAAAGCCCCTTTAGTAGGATGGTGGGGACAGAGCCAGATAACTGGAGTCAAGGAGCTAGTGGGGTATGAGGAGACTGAGACAGACACAGAGAAAACTGTCTCCTGTAAGTGAGATCAAAACTGCCTTTCTAAAGAGATGCCTGTGTCTCAGATGTTTGGGCTTTGCAGCTTAATTCAGTAGAGAACTCTGCACGTGGGCAGTTAGGGGGACAAGCTTGGGCTTCCATTTAACACGAAATTCCAAGGGAGAGAGCAGAGGTCACAGCCTGGGACTCATGACAGGATACAGGACAGGCCAGAACACGAATAACATATGGCCAGTCCTGGATTCACACACTGTTGCACAAACTATTCCGGGAACAGGACTACAGAGCCATTTCTGGCTCTAGAGGCTGGGAAACAAATGCAGTCAAAGTGCCAGGCAGACAGAACACGGGCAGGTGGGTGCAGCACCTGTCTCAAAAGGATTCCAGAGACTCGGGTCCCAGGAGCAAAAGGCAATGGCAATTGGGCTTCAGGACTGGAATGGAGAGAAGAACTCTCTTCCTTATGTTTCTGTGTCGATGGAGCAGAGCGACCTGAGTCACGAGTTCCCCTCTTTATCAGATGGCATCTCTGGTTTCAGGACTGCTGGAATCAAAGAGGGATGAGGTCGCAGGGAGACTCTCCCACCAGCGTTCCCCCAAACCTACTGCAGACATCTGTGGCACACTCTCAGGCAGGAGGCAAAGGGCTCCAGGAGGCCCACATGACAGTTTCAGATCACAGCCTCCTCAACGTGCACAGAGGGGCTCTCCACAGGCAGCCACGGCTAGAGTCATAAAACATCTGGCCAGTCCGGAAGGCTCAGCTGCACCGCCAAGCACACAGGCCCTCCGGGCTGTGGACACTGGCCAGCAGGCACCAGCTACCCTCACGTGGGTCCCCACAGGCTTAGCACGGATCATGCCTGCTCTATTGTATTCTCAAAGCCACAGGAACATTAAACAATATCACCTTGTAGGAGGACAAAAAGCTCAAGAACACCTGAGGTTTCCCTGGATTGGGTAGCACCCCAGGTTGCTGGTTTTTCCCTCTGTTTTCAAGCCTTCCTTTGCTGCATAAAGGCAATCTCCCTGCTGGAACTACTCAGAACACTAAAACCACCTCCCCTGTCTTTCTCGGAAAACAAAGGTTAAACCCTGAGCCATCTGAAATGCCAGCACAAGTGGCTAAGACTCCAGGATAGTTTTTGCCAGCAAGCTAGAGCCAAAGTGTTCCCCGGGTGCCACAGTAGGGCTCCAGATGCCGTTCTCAGGCTGGATACTGGCCCAAAGTTGCCCGGTCTTTCACCTTTTCCTTTTATATAAACGCCTCTCTCATTATAAATGTTAGCTCACAGGTTGTAAAACTCGGGCCAGGCCAAACAATGCTTGTCTGGAGGCTGAATCCTCACCTTCAGGTTCAAGCTGAACAAAACATCTACACTTAACGAAATCCAGGCTTAGCTTTTCAAATACCACATACACCTGAACACTCAAAATAATTCTAAAAATCTTGCTATGTTCTCCGAAATCACTTGCAGTTTCATCTTCTGCTGCTGGACTTCCAAAGACACCAACGTTTTTGTTAGATTCAATTGCAAGCCGCCATGCAGAAAGTTGTCTCCCCACCGCCCCTAGCCCAGGCCTCCCTGAAGCAGATGGTGGGGCCGGCAGGCGGGTGTGATGTGCACGCGGCAGGGAAGCCAAGATGTGGTGCAAAGTGTGTCTGCATGCCAGCTCCCATCCGTTCAGAAAGCCAGGCCACGCCAGGCCAGGCCAGGCCAGGCAGAGCAGTCCCCATGAAAGGCAACCTGCGCACCTGTTGCCGGGCAACCATGAGCCTGTCTGGAGTATTCAGCACTGCTTTGAAACCCAGTGACCCCAGCATTCCTCAGCACAGGGAAGGAGCTCAACTCCCCCCCGGGCCATTGAATCCAGAAAATTAATGTCCATCCTCTATATTTCCAGGGCAAGTACAAATCCCTATTTTGCAGTTCTGGGGAGAAAACCAGGTACTTCTACTCATGTTTTTACCCAGCCAGTAATAATATCTTGCTTGGGGAGAAATACCTGAGCTATAGCCCGGAGGGATTTTAACTTACTCCAGCATCTCACCAAGAGGCCTGACAATGCTTTTTTTGTGGTGCAGGCATGCAGCCAGGCCGAGCTGAGTCCCAGGAGGACAGATATCCATCCTCAAGCGCTGCCGCTGCTCTCCCATGCAGAAACAAAAGGGCAAAGGCCTGGGATCAGACGCCAGCAAGTTTCAGCTGTACCCCTGACCTCGTCAACACTGTGGCTGGACTAAAAAAGCAAAACCCACAGATGCTGCTGCTGCCGAAATCACAGGGAAAGAGCGCCTTGGACACAGCTGCTCTGAGGCAGGATATACACTGAGAATTCCAGTCCTGCTTTTCTGTAGAAACCGAATTCTCTGTGTGGAGAAGACAGTGCACCATGAGTTATAGATTTTGTTAGAGTTAGACTGAGAGTAACCCTGGTATTCCATAGCTACACATAAACTAAAAAGTAATCATTAATTATACAAAATGTTTTAGAGATTCGGATTGTGCAGCAAGGTGTGTGTGTACAGACTTTTAAATGCTACAGTCTCTCCAAATATATAAAGTCTTGGGTTTGGGGCCATAGTATTTTCAAACAGTCCTCAGATCACTTGCACCAAAAACACCTCAAGCCCTGATGAAGTGCAAATTCTTTGATCTCTTCCTAAATGTAATAATCAGATTCTTGGCAGGGGTGGGAGTGGGGGGCAACCCAAAGTCTGGGTTACTAACAACACCCCCCAAGATATCCTTATGCATCTGATGATACACAGGGCTCCTACTGTCACGTCTGCCAGTGACCTATCTTAGAGAGCCCCCAGGGTAACTCCAGACGCCCCCCCTTCCCAGTGCCTGGGTTACAGGCAGCCTCAGAATATGGGCACATCAATTCCTTTTTCTACTGCTTCACTCTGTGAGGATGAAAGTCACACAGCTCTTTGCTAACAAATAGGCATTCACTGAACGAAAGGCTAAAGGAGGGAACTGCGGATTATTTTACTTGGAGAAGATCATTAAATACAGAAAAAGCCATCTACAAAATGTGCAGAAGAAAAGGCATGGAATACAAAGAATTACTGTTACAGTAAAGTGTAACCTGAGAAATGCAATATTTATGACTTCAAAATGAAACAATCCTAATGGCCTACCTGAGTGACACTTTATGGCTTGCAAACCAGGTTCATAATTATGGCTACATTTTTCTTAGGGAGACAGTTCCTCAAGTCACTGTTATTAACTAGCTATTGGAAGAGGTAGGTTTGAATCCAAATGCACTCTCCCATGAGCTTGTTCTCATATCCACTGAATTAACAAAAGGTGATGGTGAAGCCCCAAGGAACACAAGTCTCCTTAGATCCTTTTCGCAAGGTTCATGCATCATCAAAAAATGCAATGCCTTCACAAGATGTAATCCTTCACAATTTCCTGATCACACCTTAACATTAATCTGTGTTGTTTTTTTTAAACTCATCAAAGGTTCTGCCTGAGAACTCACAAAGTACATTCTTTCATTGCTTATGGTCATACTCTTCAACCACTATACAATAATTTCTGTGAGTTGTCCATACTCTAAGGCCATATACTTTCTCAACCTTGGCACTCTTGAATTTTGGGGCCAGATAATTCTTTGCTGTCAGGGCTGACCTGTGCATTGTAAGATCCAATAGATTCCAGTAGCACCAAAATGTTATTGTGGCAACCAAAACTGTACCCAGACATTGGAAAATGTACCCTAGAGGGACAAAATTACCTCCTGTTGAGAATCACTGCTCTAAAGCTCCAGTCTGAGTATACAAAACCTAGGTTTCTCGGGGTAACGCCCCCAGAGACTCTGATTCCATAAGCACGGGTGGCACAGAACACAGTGCATTTATAACAGCCTCCCTACCAAGTGTGCTGATGCTGATGTGATGTTGATGCTGCTGATCTGGAACCAGTTTTGGGAAACATCTCTTTAGGGCCATGGCTGCAGGCTGGCATCTTGTAAAGAACTTCTAACAAGTTCCAACTTAATCAAAATCTCTAGAGATGTGGTTCAGGCAACAGTGTTTTTAAAGCTCCCAGGTTACTCTAACATGGGTTGAAAATCACTGGCTTAAGGTTTACAAATGTTTCCAGAATCCCAAACTCTTAAGAAACCTGAGATAAAATTAGTCACAGTAGATGCAATTTGCCTTTTTATATCACTTACAGGTCTCTCCTTAATATCACGTAGGAGTAGGAATCTTGAAAAAAAACAAACACCACCAAATTATGCAGATTGGAGCTTTCAACTCTGTTGTTTCAAAATCTGTGGGCTGATACCTCCAGGGATTCCCATCCTACTCCTGACTATGTTTAAAGCAAGAAAACCATTTGATGTTAGGAAAAAACTAAGAAGTCAGGGTCCTTTCTTCTTATTCTATTCATTTCCTATTATCTAAAAGTGAGGCTGCATCTTATAATAAAGAAATAAGTAAGAATTACCTTCAAAAAATGCCCAGGTCTCTTTCTTTTTCTCAAAGGATGAATCTTCAGAAGATTTGAGGGAAATCACTATAAGACAAAAAAAAAAATGAAACTGCATAGCATGAAGTGAAGTAGTTTATGAACCTGGCCCATCTCAGTCCAAAAGATTATATCATATGGGGTACATGGCACTTACATTTATAAAGTAATTTTCACATTTGCAAATACCACATTTAATTGTCACAACTCACATGCCAGGGGAAGGTACAATGACTTACATATAATAAGTAAGAGACCAGAGAAGGGAATTAAGTTTTTGGTATTCAGTTCAGTAGAAGACCCACTCACCCCATATATTAATACTTACTACATCTTCCCCAAATGTAGTGCACTTGCTGAGTATCTCTAGAGAAGCCTGAGGTCTTCTGATGACACAGGTCGGCGCTCTGAGCACCGTTCTCTGTGTAAGACAGTCACACAGCAGCATGCATCTGATTTTGAGATTATTTTGTCTGCTTTCAGTCAGCGGTTAAGCACTGAATTCACTGTGCCTGCTTTCAATCATCAGGAAACACAATGGAGTTACAGGACTTCCCTGCTGGCTCAGACAGTAAAGAATATGCCTGTAATGCAGGAGACTTGGGTTCGATCCCTGTGTCGCGAAGGTCCCCTGGAGAAGGGAATGGCTACCCACTCCAGTATTCTTGCCTGGAGAATTCCATGGACAGAGGAGCCTGGCGAGCTATAGTCCATGTGGTTGCAAAGAGTTGGACATGACTGGGCAACTAACACTTTCACTACTTTTTCAAACCTTGAATGTAATACTAAAGAATCTAGAACCATGGAAAGTTTCCATGTACAGGGGTAATCTAAAAATTAACCTAATGGAAAAGTATAAATGTCAGGGGATGAGAACTTTGAGATGAGGGAAACGTTCAGTGCCTGCACCACATACAGAACTGCCACTGCAGGTTTGTTGAGCATGTGAAACGTGATGTGTCTGCATGGGACTAAGGAGCTGAATTTGTAACTGTATTTCAATTTAATTAATTTAAGTTTAAATAGTTACATGTGGTCATTGGTTACTGCATTGAAGAGTTCTAGAGAAGAGAATCTAGGACCCAAATAAAAAGACAAAGGGGGTTGGAATAAAAATTGAATTAATATGAGAGGAAAGGAATATGGCAGGGATGGTCTAAAATTTTAACTCTATTTATTGCTCCTCCCTCAAACTTTTATATTATTATTGCCGTGGGTTCCAAATCTGAATTTTCCATCTTTATTTTTCTCCAGGTCTTGGGTGGGTATTTCCTATTGATCTACCACACAGATCACTAATCTTCTCTTCACCTGTGTCTAAGCTGCTCTTAAACCCATCTAATAAGCTTAACATTTCATTTATGGTATTTTTTTTTCAGTTATAGATCATTCACTTAATTCTTTTTTTGATAAAGCCTACGCTCTCTGATGAATTTCTCCAGCATGTCATCTAATTTTTTAACCATATTAATTGTATTATTTTACATACATGCCTGATAACTTTCACATCTGCATCTCCTGTAAGCTTATTTCTATTGTCTGTTTTTCTTTAAGACTGTTTAAATTGTTATTTACTTACATATTTATTTTTTAACTTTTTAACTGAAGGATAATTGCTTTACAGAGTTTTGTTGTCCTCTGTCATACATCAACAAGAATCAACCATAGGTACACTCATGTCCCCTCCCTCTCGAATTTCCCTCCCATGTCCCTCCCCCTCCCACCCTTCAGCCTATCACAGAGCCTCTGTTTGAGTTCCCTGAGTCACAAAGCAAATTCCCATTTGCTATCTATTTTACATTGTAAATTTCCACGTTACTCTCTCCATACCACCCCCCTCTCTCCTCCCCTCTCCCATGTCCATAGGTCTGTTCTCTATGTCTGTTTCTCCATTGCTGCCCTGAAAATAAATTCATCAGAGCCATCTTTTTAGATTTCATATATATATGTGTCAGTACACCATATTTATTGTTTCTCTTTCTGACTTACTTCACTCTCTATTATAGGCTCTAGGTTCATCCACCTCATTAGAACTGATTTAAATGTGTTCCTTTTTATGCCTGAGTAGTATTTCATTGTATATTATGTACCACAGTTTCTTTATCCATTCATCTGTCAATGGACATCTAGGTTGCTTCCATGTTCTAGCTATTGTAAATAGCGCTGCAATGAGCATCAGTGTACATGTGTCTTTTTCAATTTTGGTTTCCTCAGGGTATATGCCTAGGAGTGGGATTACTGGGTCATATGGTAGTTTTATTCCTAGCTTTTTAAGGAATCTCCATACCATCTTCCATGGTGACTGTATTAGTTTACATTCCCACCAGTAATGCAAGAGTGTTCCCTATTATCTGTTTTCGATTTTGATCTTGTCCCTTGATGTGACTGATAATTTTTTAACTCAAAAGCCAGATATTGTATATGGAGAGTCATGGAGACTCCATATGAAATTTTATTTTCCTCATAGGAAATTAAGAGTAGGAGGATGCTCACCTAATCCAATGAGAGTATGAACTGTTGAGAAGCTGAGTTTCAGTTTTTATAGGATATAGTCTATTTCTGGTTTGCCTTACTTCAAGGATCCCCAATAGAAAGTCTCAAGTAATTATCATAGACCTTCCAATTTTCATCTCACAGTTAGAACTGCCAAAAGCTGTTGCCTCATAAACACTTTCAGAATAACTTTTCTAAACAAGCACTGCATAGTTCCGTTCAGTCGCTCAGTCATGTCCGACTCTTTGGAACCCCATGGACTGCCGCACGCCAGGCCTCCCTGTCCATCATGAACTCCCGGAGCTTACTCAAACTCATGTCCATCAAGTTGGTGATGCCAACCAACCATCTCATCTCTGTCGTCCCCATCTCCTCCTGCCTTCAATCTTTCCCAGCATCGGGGTCTTTTCCAATGAATCAGTTCTTTGCATTAGGTGGCCAAAGTATTGGAGCTTCAGCTTCAGCATCAGTTCTTCCAATGAATATTCAGGACTGATTTCCTTTAGGATGGACTGGTTGGATCTCCTTGCAGTCAAGCACTGCATAAGAAAGGCTGAATTTCTTATAAATGACTCTGACACAATTAGGCTCCTTCACTGTTCTCTGCAGTCAATCTATGTGTTCTTCAGAGAACAATTAGGAAAGCTGAAATACACAGGCACATATGTAATTGTGTAATTATGTCACGCAAACATATCTATGAAATATAAATAAAAATAAATTTAGGAAAAAAATCCTAATTAATTAAGAAAACTGAAATGCAGACTACTTTTTCAGCTTTTCTAATTGTTCTCTGAAGGAAGGTTTTGTCCTATGGGAAACAACTCCCCTCTCTGTAGATCCTAAATTCTTCAAAAATGAAAACCAAAAAGGTGATACCTCCATACCACCATCTTGGGGCACACTGCCTGGCAGCTGGTAGGTGTCCAGTAAATAAATGATCTACTTCTTTTTGATGGCCCCTGAAAGAAAGCAAACTGGACATCCAGGAATGAACTCTTAGTGGACATTTGGTCTTTCATGCATTACTAGATATGTCAGACAATTCGTCTAACATCCTTCCTGCTTAATTTGCCCCACCCACAGCCCGTATAATCTACTCACTATCAGAGCAACTGATCTGATTCCCCCTTCAAGAATTTAAACAGAGAACATATGGTTGTTGTAGATCCTGGGGTTGAAAAAGTCTATAGACTCTCAGGTGGGCAGCCGTTTTGGAAAACAGGAAAGCAAATGGAGCAAGGGCAGAACTTGCAAAAGGAAGGTAGAGGATAGAGAACTTGATCTTGATGGCATTCTGGGTACCAAGAGGCTGATGTGTCATTTTCTAACCTTGCATTCAATCAGCTCTATATCCTTAAACCATCCCCACCTCTCTCCTGAATTAGCTTGAAGGAGTTTTCATCTTCAACGAATTGAGCCTAGGTTAGGATAACCACAGAGTCTTATTAAAGACAATACCAAAAGGAAAATGGACCTCTGAGGACCTTAGATTTCAGGAGATCAGTGATGCCCATCATGGTCCAGAGCCTTACTACTCTAAGTGTGGTCCACTGACCACCAGCATCAATGTTACCTGAGAACTTGTCAGAACTACAGGATTGCAGGGGCCCCAACCCAGATCTACTGGATCAGAATCTGCTTTTAAACCCAAATTTCTTGAGTGAATCATATGCACTTTGAAGTGTGAGATGCACTGATGTGCACTGGGTTGAAATACTAAGTTGCCATTTGCTAGTTATGTGACCTTGGGCAAGTCACTTAACTTCCCCATTTGTTATGCCTGAGTTTTCCCATTTGTTATACAGGGATGATAATAAGTTGAGGATGAGTGTGAAGCCAGAAGGGTTAATATATGGAAAGTACTCAGAACAGTGCCTGAGACCTAATAAGCCATTTTTATTCATAAGACAGCTCCATAGAGCTTAGCTCCCTAGCTCCATAAGACAGCAACTTGGTCTTTTTATTTCCTGCTCTAATTCCCACACCTAATTCTAGCATGGTCCTTTACTGTCAGCCCTGTGCCTCAGAGTGTGACTTTTTAGTTGTCCAAATGGTCCAGAAGAAAGAGTTCCTTGCCCTTGTGGCTTAATGTCTGCAGTCCCTTTGCCTTATTTGGGATCAAAGGTAATAAACAAGGTCTCCCCAGTGGACTTGTAGAGATGGGTATTGAAAAAACCAACAAGCTGGGATTCAAAGCTAAGGGGCTCTAAGCAAGGAGTGTGTGGAGGCTCCTCATTTCTCTCCAGTGTGGCTATTTTATGGGAAAGTACAGCAACCTTGTTTGGCATATGAAGATCAGCAACACTGGGCATAATCCTATCTGTTCCTACAAAAAAGAAAATTTTTACATGAATTCTGCCAGAGCTTTTGAAATCTTCCCAAGGTTCAGCGTAGCTATCTTATTTCAGCTGCTAATCCTGTGCTGTCTCAAAGTGAATGTGATACACTGTCCAGCCACACATGTCTGAGTCCAGAGATTCAGGCCAATGCCCTGCTCAAGGTGGCCTCTGTCTTGCCCCATGCTCGGAGCTCAGCCTCTCAGCCAAGAGCTA